CCCTGCCACTGCCAGCGTCTCCCCAGGGCTCCTGCAGGCAGGTTAACATGCTGGCTCTATAGAGAAACCCAGGAGACTTACGGAGATCCCTGGCTCCAAGGAGTCCGTGTTCACGATGATGGGAGCAGGGTTGGCCTGTCAGAGAGAGACAACAGCCCGTCACACAGCTGAGCTGCGGGTCCCGGTGCGCCAGCTGCCAGCGTCTCCCCAGGGCTCCTGCAGGCAGGTTAACATGCTGGCTCTATAGAGAAACCCAGGAGACTTACGGAGATCCCTGGCTCCAAGGAGTCCGTGTTCACGATGATGGGAGCAGGGTTGGCCTGTCAGAGAGAGACAACAGCCCGTCACACAGCTGAGCTGCGGGTCCCGGTGCGCCAGCCGCCCGCCCCCTCCCCACGCCGGGCCCCCCGCGGGGCTGCCAGGCCCCCCCAAGCCACAGCGGGCCAGGTTCTCACGGGGAGGAAACAAACCCTCCCCCAGCTCCGGAGCAGAGCGTCCTGACCCCAGGCAGAAGGTCCTGCCACTGCGGGGGGAGGCAGCACAGTCCGGGGGCTAAGCTCCAGGCAAGGGGCCTCAGCGGTGGTTTCCCAGCTTGCACTGCCTGGTTAGGGCGCCTGGGCCTCGGCCCCGGGTCCCCTGCAGGAGGGAGGCACGTTTCCTGACAGGGCCGGGGGCAATGCTGTCCAGGCTGAGAATGGGAGTGGGGAGGTGCCTGGGCCTGGCAGGCGGCACATGACAGAGCCCCACTGCCTGGGGGGTCAGGGAGCGCGAGCTGGGAGGGGAGCACGTGACAGAGCCCCACTGCCTGGGGGGTCAGGGAGCGCGAGCTGGGAGGGGAGCACGTGACAGAGCCCCACTGCCTGGGGGGTCAGGGAGCGCGAGCTGGGAGGGGAGCACGTGACAGAGCCCCACTGCCTGGGGGGTCAGGGAGCGCGAGCTGGGAGGGGAGCACGTGACAGAGCCCCACTGCCTGGGGGGTCAGGGAGCGCGAGCTGGGAGGGGAGCACGTGACAGAGCCCCACTGCCTGGGGGGTCAGGGAGCGCGAGCTGGGAGGGGAGCACGTGACAGAGCCCCACTGCCTGGGGGGTCAGGGAGCGCGAGCTGGGAGGGGAGCACGTGACAGAGCCCCACTGCCTGGGGGGTCAGGGAGCGCGAGCTGGGAGGGGAGCACGTGACAGAGCCCCACTGCCTGGGGGGTCAGGGAGCGCGAGCTGGGAGGGGAGCACGTGACAGAGCCCCACTGCCTGGGGGGTCAGGGAGCGCGAGCTGGGAGGGGAGCACGTGACAGAGCCCCACTGCCTGGGGGGTCAGGGAGCGCGAGCTGGGAGGGGAGCACGTGACAGAGCCCCACTGCCTGGGGGGTCAGGGAGCGCGAGCTGGGAGGGGAGCACGTGACAGAGCCCCACTGCCTGGGGGGTCAGGGAGCGCGAGCTGGGAGGGGAGCACGTGACAGAGCCCCACTGCCTGGGGGGTCAGGGAGCGCGAGCTGGGAGGGGAGCACGTGACAGAGCCCCACTGCCTGGGGGGTCAGGGAGCGCGAGCTGGGAGGGGAGCACGTGACAGAGCCCCACTGCCTGGGGGGTCAGGGAGCGCGAGCTGGGAGGGGAGCACGTGACAGAGCCCCACTGCCTGGGGGGTCAGGGAGCGCGAGCTGGGAGGGGAGCACGTGACAGAGCCCCACTGCCTGGGGGGTCAGGGAGCGCGAGCTGGGAGGGGAGCACGTGACAGAGCCCCACTGCCTGGGGGGTCAGGGAGCGCGAGCTGGGAGGGGAGCACGTGACAGAGCCCCACTGCCTGGGGGGTCAGGGAGCGCGAGCTGGGAGGGGAGCACGTGACAGAGCGCTGCTGGCTGGGGGGGCAGGGAGCGCGAGCTGGGAGGGGAGCACGTGACAGAGCCCCACTGCCTGGGGGGTCAGGGAGCGCGAGCTGGGAGGGGAGCACGTGACAGAGCCCCACTGCCTGGGGGGTCAGGGAGCGAGAGCTGCACTGAGGGGTAGCGTCCCACCAGGCACATCCCCCCCAACACACCCGGCCGGGCCTTTCAGCCCTTCGCCCTGCTCTTTGGGTGCCGCCTGGAGCAAGTGAGGCGAGCGCCAATGGAGAAAACGGGACCCAGCCCCTGGCACGGCTGCGGAG